TGTGTGTGTGTGTGTGTGTGTGTGTGTGTGTGCGCGTGCGTGTGTGTGTGTGTGTGGTCAGGAAATGAATAAGGGATCTTTTCAGTGCTCATAAGTAACAACTCTTTCAGAGATTTAATATTGCCTGTGGAGAACGAGCGACAGCCTGACACTTGACCAGTGTTGGATCACGTTTCATGTATATTCATGAGTCACTCTGCGCTCCTCATACAAATGTTACTGAGGCTGGTGGTGGATAGCAAGAATCCAAAAGAAGTTTTCTGTGTGTGAGATTTTCCACCAACACAGTCACGAGCATCCGTTCAATGGATCTTTGTTGCTTAAGCTTTATTTGTTTTGGATTTAGATTAGCAAGGTTGTTTATTATTCAGCATCATTAGACATGCAATGCATTTTCATCTCACACCACACATTGGTAGGAAAAGAGCAGCCTTCCTCACACCTCCAGTCTTTTCTTTGCCAGGAAGTCAAAGAGTAGAAATTCAGTGTTTTGTTTTGTTTTGTTTTTTTTTTTCCTATGTGGATATGTGAGAGTGCGCTTATTAGATGTATTTAAATGTCTGGATAATGTAGTAAGGCACATATGTGTTATGCCAATTCGGTCGCAATGATGCATTTAGGTACCGAAATGGAATTGCATGAACATTCATGTGGTGGTTATGTAATACAGCGAATCGATAATAAAAATATCTGCGTCGACAAATTTACATAATCGACGTCATCGATTATTTCAACTAATCGGTGCAGCCCTATTATTATTATTATTATTCAGTTGTTGCATTATGTAGCACTCTACAGACGATATATTACGCTTGTGAAGAACGATTGCTCATGATATCAAATGGTGGATTAGYTTTAAATAAAACACAGAAAAGTGTTGTAAATATTAAATATTTGTAACAAAAAGTGTTTTTGTAGTGTTTTACCAGTGTTCCCCTGGGATATCTCTGTTTCATCTTCCCCCCATATCCCCTCCAAAAACTGGATCACCCCTTCTTTACCTCTTRGCACGAATGCACCAAACATAAGTACGGGGCTAAATGGTGGAGGCGAGAGGTGAAATGTGATTCAGCCCAAGTCTGAAAAGTGCTATAGATACTCTGTAATGTGCTGTGTGTACTCGCTGACCTTTTCTTTTCACCCATCCCTGCCATCCCTCCCCCACTCTTACTTAACGCGTCTTCTTGCTCTCTCTCCCTCCCTTCCCCTGTTTCCATTTTCTTTGCTGGCTTTCCACTGCCTCTTTGAATCCCTTTGCTTGCCAGACGGGGGAGCTGCGGACCAAAATGTCCCAGTCCCACGAAGACAGTCTTACGAGCGTGGCCTGGAATCCTGATGGCAAACGTTTTGTCACTGGAGGGCAAAGGGGGCAGTTTTATCAATGTGTAAGTGACCAGTAATGGAGTCCTTTCTTTTATTATATATAGTTTTTCCCTTCAGAAGTTTTAAATGAGTTTTTCGTATTTTTTTTATTCATGTTTCATTTGATTCAGGAAGTGCTTGTTTAGATTGAATTTTATGTAAATAGTGTCCTTTGCAATGCCCATTTTAAAGCACGAACACACAGTTCCTGTTAACGACTGTTGCTGTGCTCTGCTTTGTCTGTGTTCTCATTCTCCTGTCAAGAAAAAGGACTGAGGAGGGTYTGTTGTGTGTGTTGTCAGGACCTGGATGGGAACTTGTTAGATTCCTGGGAGGGSGTGAGAGTGCAGTGCCTGTGGTGCCTGAGCGATGGCAGGACAGTGCTGGCCTCAGACACCCACCAGCGTATCCGGGGCTACAACTTTGAGGACCTCACGGACAGAAACATGTACGTGTTTGTACGCCTGTGTTTCTTTTTACATCCAAAAGTATCGGTTTAAAATGGTTTCCAAATAATATTATSRTTTATCACAATAATTTCAGAGACAATTTATCACCCAGCAAAATTTGTTACTGTGACAGGCCTACAAATGCACAAATGGTCCAGCGAGAAAAACCTTCAGTAGTGTTAAGAGACTGAGGAACAGTTTTTAATGTTATTTTTCTTTAATATGTCAATATTTGATGAGTTGTCACTTATTGCCTGCTTTTTACAGAGTCCAGGAGGACCACCCAATCATGTCGTTTACCGTTTCAAAGAACGGGAGATTAGCTTTGTTAAATGTAGCAACTCAGGTAACCATCAGTTTTATCTATTTATTTGCTTATTTTTGTAAAACAAATACAATTCTTAAAGAGAGCAGAAGCAGGAATTTGATTTTTTTATTTTTGCAACTTTTTAAAGGGAGTGCACCTGTGGGATCTTCAAGATCGGGTGCTAGTGAGGAAGTACCAAGGTGTGACCCAGGGCTTCTACACCATCCACTCCTGCTTCGGAGGGCACAATGAAGACTTCATTGCCAGCGGCAGCGAAGGTATAGTCAGGTGCTAAATACCAAAACTGTTGTAATAAAAAGAAGACAGTAAATGTATTTGAAGCATGGGAACATTCTCACTGTCATTTGAGATTTAGGTTTTAGCTGTGTTGATGAATTTTGGTTCTTCTCTGTGTGATGATTTTTGGAACGGTGACCTGACAAACTGTACAGAATCACCACTGATTGATTTGAACATAACAGCTTGACATAAATTTGTTTTCATCAACTAAAGGTTTAAAGCCATTTCAGAGCAGCTATGGGACAATGAGCCAAATTATGGTTTTCATGTTGGTCCATTTAAATTGCTACACATCATATTTAAGTTGACACATCCTAACCATCCATACTAGGAAATAAGCTGTACATCACTGAAGAAAAAAAACCTCTTTGCCACATGTTAGTTGTCAGTTTGTCTAATTCTGTTTATTTGGTCTTGTCTGGTTTACAAAGATGTTTCCTTTTGCTTTTTTCTGCCGTTCTTCATCCATCCCATCAGACCACAAAGTGTACATCTGGCACAGACGTGGTGAACTTCCTATCGCTGAGCTCACAGGCCATACACGCACCGTTAACTGTGTGAGCTGGAACCCGGCCATCCCGGGCCTCATGGCTTCTGCCTCAGACGACGGCACTGTGCGCATCTGGGGTCCGGCTCCGTTTCTCGACTCACAGGAGACAGATGGACTCAACGGTAAACACTTTGCTTACAGCAGCAGTGGTTTTATCTCGTTTTTGCTGATTTTCATGCCAACGTACAGTAAATGACCTTTGGCTCAGAAATAAGTAGAGATTAATTTTAATCAACAAATATGTATTAAAATGGCCTCCCCCTCTTTTTCTCCTCAGAAAATTGCAGCAACATGGACAGTTGATGGTCACTTACTGAGCTGATGACATCTCTCTTTGACAACAATCTGAGAATCCCACAACACAACAAAATCTAAACAGGCAACCAAATCAAACCCCACCAGAAAGCAAGCGATACCAATAAAGTGTCACCTAAACAACAAGAATACAAAATTGAGCAAAATTTGGCTCCTGACTGGCCAAGATAAAGTGGTGGACGTGATGAAGGGACATCCTTGGAAATTCATGTCCCCGTCCTAAAAAAACAAAACAAAAAATAAATGAAATCCGATCCCAGCCTTGAGACCTGGAAAACCAGTCTGAGTCCAGCAGGATCCTGCTCTGGTGAGCCGCTAACGGCCGTTCTACTTGCTTCTAACCGACCCTTCCTCCTCCATTTTACGTCACCATCATCAGACGTGTTGGATCTTCACAAGTATCTGAGGAAACCCACCTCCACCTTGAGCGTGGAGCACATAGGTTCTCGTGGCGCCTCCAGACAGAGCAGCCGTCTCCTCATTGGACTACAAATGTCTGCTTGCTTGTCTGTGACGTTACCTGTGTGATGTCTTCATACACCTGGGTGGGGGAGTTGTTGCGGGAGGACGGTGCATAGGGGGATATAGAAACTCTCTTGTATGTATGTTTTTCTCCCACCCCYTCCTCATACTTGCTATGTTCCTTTTATATTCAATAATTTGGACAAAAGCTGAAAATCCACTAGAAAACACTGACCAACCAGCTGACAAAGAACACAAATAGGCTATGCTAACTGTTGGAAATATTTTTTATGATAGTCATAGTGTTTGTTCTCATTGAAGAGGTGAAACTTAGCTCATGCGGTGCCCATGGAAAAACTTCATCGGGAAGACCCCCCCCCCCCAACTTTAGTAATATAAATAACAAAACTTTTTAAAAATATCTTAATTTACCCTTCTACTAAGGAG